TTTAGTTATATATTTATCTATATATTCAACTAGTTATTTATCTATTTATTATTTATCTATTTATCTATCTATATATCTATCTATGTATTTCTATTATTTATTTAATTTTTATTACAATTGTTGTGTTTATACTTTCTTTGGTTTATTTTTTGTATTTAATTCTGTTTTTCTGCTGCTGGAAATTTTATTAATTGGTCTTAAAATTTTAAATTATAATACACCGATGATGAGACAAACCTAGTCTCGAAACGTTTGTAAAATTAATATTATTTAATAAAATAGTTTAGACACAGAGAAACATAATGAATTTGAAAATGCGCGCCATTGTTAAATGTGAAAGCAATATGAGGAGTGTCTCATCTTTCTGTAAGTATACTCTATGGTCTATGCTCCAAATGTCAAATAATAAATTTAATTTAAGTTGAAATTTATTTTTTAGCCCACTCCTATTTTGGAATTATTTCAATTATTTCGTAAGTGAGTATAAGCAGTTGAAATATTAAAAATGTCAGAAGAAAACAATTATGTCAATGAATGATCCGCAATCAAAATTGAACCGCCAGAATATTTAGAAGAAGACATTAAACACGAAATTCAGGATGAAATTGATGTTTCTGATGATACTGTAAGTATGAAGATGTCAAACAGGAGTTAGCGGACATTAAACACGAAATTCAGAATGATATTGATGTTTCTGACGATATTGTAAATCTGAATCGTATTCTGAGGATGATGAAACCTGTTTAGAAAGATCCATGAACTCTGAAGTGACAATCGAAGAAGAAGTGAAACAGGAGTTAGTCGAGCCAGCAGTTTGTGAATGTGACATTTGTGATCAATCATTTGCAGAATCTGATCAATTAAAAGAGCATATGGTCAATCACAATTTTAGTAATAGCAAAAAACGCCCTTTAAAATGCGAAATCTGTCATAAGACTATGAAACGAAAAAGTTACTTGAAAATTCACATGCTTTTGCATAGCGGAGAGCGCCCCCATGAATGCGTCATATGCAACAAGACATTTGCACTATCATGTCATCTGAATAAACACATGCTGATTCACAAAAAATACGCCCTCATCGATGCAATGTTTGTAATAAGACATTTGCACAATCCGGAAGTCTCAAACGTCACATGCAAGTTCACAAAGGAATACGCCCTCATCAATGCAATGTTTGTAATAAGACATTCACGGATTCAGGAGGTCTCAAACGTCACATGCAAATTCACAAAGGAATACGCCCTCATCAATGCAATGTTTGTAATAAGACATTCACGGAGTCAGGAAGTCTCAAACGTCACATGCAAATTCACAAAGGAATACGCCCTCATCAATGCAATGTTTGTAATAAGACATTTGCACAATCCGGAAGTCTCAAACGTCACATGCAAATTCACAAAGGAATACGCCTTCATCAATGCAATGTTTGTAATAAGACATTCACACGATTCGATAGTCTGCAAAGGCACATGCTGATTCACAAAGGAAACCATGGCAATTTTTAGTCGAAAATGTAATAATAATCAATGACATATAATCATTTCTTAAATTGAAATGAAATATAAACATTTCTTAAATTGAATTTAAATATTAGGAAAAAGGTTATAAGAAAATATTTCAACTGCTTATACTCACTTAAGACATATTCTTCTCAAATATGTAAAAGAATGTATAAATAGTATAAAATAAACAGTAAACATCACATTATATTCATTTATGTTAAACCAGACAATTGTTACTTATTATATCACTTTATTGGTTCCTTTTTAGCTTCCCGTAGGGAATGGGTCGAAAATCGAAAATAAAAATTTTCGCATTTCTCCATGTTTTAAAGGTTTCTGAACATTTTGGCATAGCTCAGAAAAAATGGATGTGTGTGTGTATGTGTGTGTATGTATGGATACAATTTTTTCGGGCGCACGGATCAACCGATTTGAATGGTTCAAAAAACATTCGAGTCCTGTTGATAGGGAGATGTGCTGATTAGTTTTCGGCAAAGGCAGGCCCAGCCACTTCGAAGATACAGAGCTAAATGTGCAAAAAATGGCGGTTTTTGAGAAAAACTAAGCGTCCGATTCAAATGATTTAAAGAACTCTTTGCTTGTTTCAACAAAATAATTGATTTTGGAAGAAAAATGTTTCTATTTTTTTTTTCAAAAAAAATTTTTTTTTCAAGAATTTTTTTTTGTATATCCAAAATAATTCAGATATTAATCTTAATTCTGTTCTAATATACTTTAAACAAATAATTTCGACTTTGCAATTCAGTTTATATAATTCTTATAAATATTAGACAATGTTACAGTATTTATAATAATCTATTTGAAAACGTTCAGTATTAGTTAGTTTTTAACTTAAATGCCATCTCGTACAAAAGCAAAAAAGTTTTATTACGTACATTTTTTTTAATATCATGTAGAAACGATATATGCAAAATATTTTACGAGGGATACATCGATGAAAAAAACTTCAGCGCCATAAACAAAGTATTTAAGTATGAATTTTTAAGAAATCGATGCTGATTTGGATATTTTACCCGATGATGCTTTTAATACATGTAATATTTCCGTTATATATAAATGATACATGAAACTTTCTTACATCGAATACGCAAAGTAAAGCAGTTTCTTAAAAATCGTACTGGTTGCAAAATTTTCTCGCTAATGCTTCTGTACATTTGCAATATGCCACCGTAATAACTACATGTGACAGAACTTTATTTTTGTTCATAACAAAATGCAAGTTATGAGGCAATTCTGCCTTAACAGAGCTCATATCATAAAATAGCGTTGTCATGGGAAAGCTCTCTTATGCTTGTTCTTGATATGGAAAATTAAGTATTAGCCGTGCGATCAGGCGTATTTTACATATGAATAAGGGAGAATGTTATGATAACAGAATTTTAGATGGTGCTACCAAAAACAATGTTGCCATGACAACGCTATTTTATGAGCTCTATTCATAGACCTTATACAATTTCATGGACCGCTAGTCCCCATACATTTTTCAAGTAAAAAAGTGTCAAAATATGTTCTATGGTATGAGGGCATACGAGGGTAATTTCGCGGCCGAGATATGTCAAACTCAATCGCTTGAACGTCAAATGAAAGTCTGTGTGTTCGAAATTGTTGGCAAAATATTATATAATATACAATTTAGGTTGAACTAATGAATGTAATGAACTATTTATTCATTTATTTATTTTAGGTATACAAAGTGTTCAAGAGAAATTAAAAAAAAAATATTTTACATATTATAAAATTCACTGAAAATAAGAACAGTTGGCTAGAGCTCTTATGGGAAATTAGAAAGAAATAATGAAATATTTGTTTAATTGTAATATATTTATTATTGATGTTTAAAAAGCACAATTTTCGTGTGAAAGTGGCGTACATGTTTATCAAGTTTGCTTTTTTATGTTCTTCATGGTGCATTCTATTTGTTAAGTACATTTTACCACAAACCAAACACATTTTAGAAGACATTTTACTTCTTATTAGATTTTGTCTGCTACTAACAATTTTAAAATGCGTATTTTTATCCTTTTTTAGGCAAAAAACACGAGCGATCAAACATCTCGTGAACCCAAGTAACTATAAAATTTAAGCGATCGAGAGCATTCGACTAATCTCGGTAAAGCTCGTGTTCGTATTTGACATATCTCGGCCGCGAAATTACCCTCGTATGCCCTCATATCATAGAACATCTTTTGACACATTTTATGCGCTCAACTTTATGCGTCCATGTATTGTATAAGGTCTATGGCCCTATTACGGCAGAATTGCCCCATTAGTCTTTCGACATAAATCTTCTATCTATTTACCTTCTGATGGCCTGAACGTGTTCCAACTCGACATCAGGATCGCACCTGGCGAGCGCCCTTTGAGTCTCCCTTTGCGCTCCCATCAGGGGAGCACATTGCTCCGACAATTCGCAATAAGTACCAATAGCTCCTTTGACTCTGATTACACGTTCTCGTTCCAGGGCTTCCAAAACGCGACAAGCTCTTGTAACTGAACTCTAGATAAAGAATAAATGCATTATTCACTTCCCGAAGGAGAAGTTTATGTTTTCATCAAAAAATCCGACTCGCTAATTTTATGTTTTCTCAACGTTTCAAGACATTTTAAATCGAATGAGACCAAATTTAAGGAAAAAGTATGTGTGTGTGTGTGAACAGATTTTTTGCCGTAAATCGATGTTTTCTCAAAAACGGATGGATCGATTTCAAAAATCTAAAAGCCATTTGATGTATCTCGATGAGGACTACAATTTCTCAGTCTTGTGAGATGATCGGCTGGGCCGTTTCTTTGTAAATCGCAGAAAAGTGAAAAATTTTTCGTCCACGTTTTAGACCGCAATTCTAAATCATTTCTGAAAATTCAAAAACCGTTCGAAAGATATTGATTGGGAATCGTGCTGATTAGTTTTTGGTAAAGATCGGCCGGGCCGTTTTCTTGTAATAAAGTTTTTTAAAAAAAAATTTCGACGATTTTTATGATTTTTTTTTTGACGATAGATACCATAGTCTTGTAGATCATACTAAAATATTACGGTCCTACAACAACTGTTTTAGCTTTAAAAATTCGTCAAAGTTTGCAGAAAATTAGTATCGTTTCTTTGACATTTGTCAAAATTAGAACTTTCATCGACGTTTGCTCAAAAACGTCTGAACCGATTTCATAAATTTAACAGCCATTTGATGTATCTCAATGAGGACTACAATTTGTCAGTTTTGTGAGACGATTTGCCGAGCCGTTTCTTTGTAATTTGAAAAAAAGTGTTAAACTTTTCGTCCACATTTAAGCTCATTCTACCGAATCGATTTTAAAAAATCGAAAACTGTTCGGAAGATATTAGTTGGGAATGGTACTGATTAGTTTTAGGTGAAAATCTACCGAGCCGTTTTCTTGTAATTAACTGTTGAAAAAAAAATTGAATCCGATTTTTATGGAACTTTTTTTGGCGATATATATCATGGTCTTATAGAACTTACTGAAATATTACGGCCTTTCGACAAGTAGTTTAATTTTAAAATATAATCAAATATTAAGAAAATGAGTAGTTTTTTTTGACGTTTGTTAAAAATAAAATTAGATGATTTACTTGGTATAACGTTAGAGTACTTGGTCTTGAACATAGTAAACCATTAAAGTCCTATGGAAACTGGTTCAATTATAAAAACTGGTGATTTTTGAAAATTTTCTATTAGAAAATACACCGAGTCAAAGTGTTCGTTCGTTTTCAATGATGTGTAATATGTATTTATTTACCTCCCAGTCCAATCGAGCCCTTTCAGCCCGAACACAAAGTGTATAGTATTCCACGTCAGCCTTTTTCACAGCCAATTCAGCCTTCTTTCTTTTCTGCTCGGTCCTGGCAGCATCTTTTTCAGATTGGTGGTTGTTTTGGTTATTGGCAGCCTGATTCTGGTGGTTTTGGTTTATTGGCTGAGGATGCATTTTGGCATGGTTGGAATGGTTCATTAGAGCTAGGCTTGGAGCCCTTGCTAACCTGTAAATAGACAATTGGATGAAGACAAATTTTTATTCAATTGTTATCTTTTATTACCTGGTAATAGACAATTGAATAAAAAAAAGAGTGCGCGTAAGGATCACACGCGAATGAAGTAAAACTTATTTGCTACTGTACAAAGTAGCAAATTTAAGTTAAGTAAAAATAAATACATCATATAACAATTTTGAATAATGTTTATTAGCAAAATGGTAACACTCGTGATGCACACATTTTTTAGTGTCGTCAATTATACACATTTATATAATGATAAATTATAAACTATATATTTATGATTGAATTAAAAATATGTATAATATTTACAAACAATGATGTAATCAAAGTCATACTTGAAATATGAGATGATCGGTTTAAAGTAATTGCCGATTAATAAATTCTATAATATTCGTTCACACAGTGAATTATGTTAAACAACGCCTAAACAAATATTGTTTTCGTAACTTCACTCATCATGTAATAGTTGTGTTTGATATATTCATTTACTGTTCGTATTTTTTCACTTTTTCGCTGACGATATAATCTCATTCCTTGAACTGCTGTAATGTCTGTCTTGCCTAAAAAATTGAAGCCATACTTTTATATTTGTTTTATTCTTCAGGCCCTGCCCATAGCTTGATCTATGAATCATTTTCTTTTTTATATGAAAGTTAATGCAATGATCATCGTCAATATTACGAGGTAATAAATTAACCATATTATTAACGTCAACAGGCACATTTATAATTTGTCCAAATATTCCAAATTGTCCATTTGCATGTCTCAATCGCCTAATTTGCATGAAACACAGCCTAGGTGAAATTAACCTTTCAGATACACTATCTAGTTTAGGTAAATAATTTGGTATAGGTGGAAATGCAAACCCGTTAAATTAATAACATAATTACTTATGTCATTGGTGTTGACATTAACATCTAAATTGATACCTCTGGCTCAAGATTTTCTAATAAATTGGCAGTAACCGATTATTTTCCTCCAGTTGTTTTGTTTGACTATGTAATCTTGATCTTTCAGAGTTTGTAAGAGGCTTTAAACCTGCATCAATATTTATAATTACTATTATAATAAATTAAAATAATTCTTCATAGCCATCATAAAAGAGAAACATGTAAACTTACGTTAAGTTTCCAATGAAGAAATATTGTTTTCACAATTTCACTTATCATGTAATTGTGTTTGTAGAACTTCATTATTGACTGCTTGATTGTATTGACTATTTTGCTGGTGATACATTTTCATTCTTTGAGCAACTGTAGTATCTGTCTTTTGTAAAAATATTTTCCATTTTAGTAATAACCTCAAAGGTATATAGTAACCTCGAAAAACTCGAATAATACAAATTACTTCAATAAACTTACATTTCTTACGCAGCGCAAATTTTTCCTTTGTTTCATCATTTATTTGCGATCATTTGCACTACAATTATTTATGGGCGATGGGATAAAATATATATTAATAGATCCTGACATTTTTATCAACTCAAAATTTATACTACTATTTAAGCTTAAAAAGTTTTGACATAACACCGGAAATTTGAACAATATGCTTCACGCTTTCGGTGACGTATGCACGTATAAAGCACGCTTTCGGTGACGCACGCACGTATAAAGTCACGCATCAGAATCGACTCGTATAGAAATCATATTATCGAGAGCGAATGACTCTCACTTCAGCTTGGCGTAACAATTTCCGTTGCATTTGTACGGATTTACACACATGTCGCGCCTAAAGAAGTTTTACTTCAAAACAATTTTTTATTCAATTGTTATCTTTTATTACTTGGTAATAGACAATTGGATGACGACAAATTTTTATTCAATTATTATCTTTTATTACCTGGCGTCGAGCGATGCATCCTGCAGCTTCTCGTTCTCCCTGGCAGCCTGGTGCGACTGTTTTTTGGCTTTGGCTTCGGCAGCTCTCCATTCCGACAATTGTCTCAGGGATTTATCACAGACCAATTCTGCAGATTTGCGAGTTCTACAAAAAAAAACCGAATTATATTTCCGAAATCAAACTGTAATTTTGAAATTATCTTTTATCCCTTACCTGTGCTGAGCATCTGCAAGTTGTCTCAGCGGCCTCACGATCTCTTCGCTTAGAGAATTTGAGAATTGCCTAAGGGAAAAATAAATCATCGTGATAATAAATGATTTTACAAGTGATTTTTTGAATTTGTGGGCATTTTTCTGACCTATGAACGTCTCCCCGGCCTTCCATATCGCTGGCCACGCCTCTGAGGGCTTGGGCGACTCCTCCACGACTGTCGCGACACGCACGGTTTAGTTTGGAACTAAGTTTGCATAATTGTTTTGCGTATGTCATCTCTGCTTCGGCCCTAAAAAAAGTAAATAGTTAATAAATTATTGAAAGTATTAAACCATAATACATAAAGAAAGAAAGCAGAGGGTCGGTATAGGAAAAAGTGTTCCTCAAGGCGATATGTTAGGGCCCAGGTTTTTAAATATTTTTTTAACTTAGGGATATCATAAGAGATATGGTTGTAGAAATTTACTTATCTATTTATTCATATAACTGTTTATCTCATCAGTTATTTATTGATATGATTTATTTATTTGCTCAACACACGCAAGATTCATAAGTTCTGTTCCTGCATTTATTCATAAAGTTCTTTTATGCATTATTTATTTTTTAGACTTCTTGTGTTTTTTATTATTTTATTAAATTATATTTTATATACTTTAATTTTACCTTAAATTATTTAACCACTTAATTTTTAAATTATTACAAATTAAATTATTTAAAAAAATAAATTAAATGTATTTAAGTATCCTAAAGCCCATGCAAGCGAAGCACGTTCTAGTACCTCATATTGCATGAAGCACAGGCGCATTTATTATTAAATATTTCATTAAGGAATTTAATATTAAATAAATTATCATTATTCTTATTGACATATATTATTATTAATATTTAATATTTCTTTACCTCTCTTGTAATATGGTTGCCAATTCTTTGTTGAGATCTTCACCGGATTTAATATAACGTCTGAGGTCCTCGTACCCATTTTGACCCTGAATAAAATACAAAAGAAATATTAATAATTGATATTATTGATTAATATTGGTATTAAATACAAAACCATAACAACATTTATAATTGGCAATCGAGCGAGCAAAACTTATATTTGAGATCAAACCAGTATATGTATTAATAATGTTTGTTAGTATTTGAATATTCAGGTTATTATAATTTGTTTAAAATATTGAAAATTAAAAACTTCACATCTTCTAATAATAACAAATTTTCAAATAATATAATATACAAATTGTGAATGAATATTTTGACTAAAAAATGAGGCACAATTGTATTTAAATATGAACTAATTTTTAAAATTGTTTTAATACCAATGGTTTAGTTTTAGAATTTTTTTCAATAAATACAGAATATAATACAAAATCGAGTATTAATTTAAAAAATTGAAGAGAAAATCTTGGACAATATTAAAATAATATACATATAGAGACATGTATAAGAAATTCCAAATGTCGCTTTGACCGATTTAGTGGCCATAAAATCATATTAATGTCCATTTTTTCGAACAACCGACATCCAATTAACAAAATAGGTGAAAACTATTTGAGACGAGAAAAAACTAAATTGGCCAGTGATGGTCAAGAACTCTACTCAATAAATAACTGATGGTAATAATAACGAATGATAAAAATACTATTTTCAAATAAAAACGTATTTTCTACACAATAATGCAGTACGAATGCCTACTAATACTTAATCTAAACTAATTTTTTTACATCGAAAAATGTACTAATGTTATATAAGAAAATATATCATTTTCAGCTATTTTTTCTAGTTAGTTTCAATATTTAAATCCATTTATTTAATATGAATTACAGTTTTTATTGTATATATTACTATTATTTTTTCAAATTGGTAAAATATTATTAATTGTTAACCAAACTAAGAGCAAGTGACATTAAAGAAAATTCCCGATTCAAAAAATCGTATTCACTTTTAAAATTTGCAATAGCACACACACATGCATTCTCCAATTTAAATGTCAAACGATTCAAATTGACTTGAAACGTCGGAAAAACATAAAATTAGCATATCGGATTTTCTGGCAAAAACATAAAAGTTTTCTTCATAAATTAAAATGGTTATAACTTTCATGATAAATTGTATTACAAATGTTGTATTTTTGTTTGTTGCTGATTGATTAATTAAACAAAAATTAATAAATCGATAGTGAAACATCGTTTGGCGACCACTGCTCCAGTTTCGAGTTGAAATATTAAATTGTACAAAGTTATGAATAAATATATGTATATGTATATATAAAAAAGTGAATTGTGCAATTTATATGTTAATATTTTCAACTTTTATTGCCATCTTTCTAAGAGAGATACAGTTAGAGGAATACGTTAGAAGTTAGATGGACACTGTCACTTTTACTTTATATATATATATATAAATATATATATATATATACATATATATATATATATATATATCAGAAATACCATACATTCACCTTGTAAAATATTATAGGCCTATGGAAAAGTGCACACATGCAAGATGAATGTTTTTGTTCTTAGACCGTATGTGTAAATTTGTGTCTGTTGTAAGTGTATTTGTGTAATTAATTAATGAATCCATATATAATGAAATTAATTAAGAGTTACCTCGCCGATTGCAAAATATCAAACAATGAGATATCAAAGTGACAAGGTTATGTTATGTTTTTAATATTGCAAACACCAGATTGAAATCTTTGCCAGTTTATATCATCTTCTTTATATTGTGCAATAATAATGCTTACAAATTAAACGTTATTATTGCAAAATTATTATTGCCAAATTATTTTAAAAACATGAGCAATTTTATGTTAATTACATTTTTGAATATTGTTTGTACTTGAACTTGTCAAGAGTTTAATAGGAGTTTTATTTAAAAAAAATTCTTTGAAAAACTTAAAAAAAACGTGCAAATTATTTCAAAAACACAAAAATCACAAATAATAAACATAAGGTAAGTGTAACAGCCGTATTTATAATGAAGAAGTATATTTTGTTCAAAAAATTAAACTTCAATATTATATACAGTTATGAAAAAAATTGACGTTTTGAAGGTTTCTGAACATTTTACTGGCATACCTCAGAAACTAAATGGATGTGTGTGCGTGTGTATTATAGGTCCGCATTTTTTCGTTCACGTTTTCGGGCGCACGGATCATCCGATTTGAATGGTTTAAAAAACATTCGATTCCTATTAATAGGGAGATTAGTTAAAAATCGAATTTTTGAGAGAACGGATCATCCGATAACTTCGTAATGACGGGGAAAAGTGGTTATTAGTTTTTGGCAAATGTAGGCGCAGCAGTTTCGGAGATACAGAGCTAATTGTGCAAAAAATGGCAGTTTTTGAGTGAACAAAGCGTCCGATTTGAATGATCTAATAAACTTTTTGCTTGTATTGATAAAACAATTGCTTTTGAGGATAAAAAAAATATTTTCCATAAAATATTTTTGTAATTTTGGATTAAAAATTCAAAAAATTACCCAGTCTAAGCACCACTCTGGTGCAAATGTTTACCCGAGTGCGGTTAGACTGTTTAAGTTCTGGACCATTTTTTCAATTTTGCGAAAACTATTGAAAAATGCGAAAATGCCGCCAAGCTAAGCACAGTATAAGTGAAAATGTCGCACAGAATTATTCGCAAATGCGTTTAGACTGTGACTATGCATGAGTACTTTTTCAATTTTGTGCAAATTAGGCAATTTTTTTTCTTTGAAATTGAATTCGAAATGAAATGACGATTGTTAACGTTCTTTCTGGAGAAAAATTGATTTATGATTAATGATTTACATTTGATTTGCTCAGATATAACAAGATAGCAAAAATCATGAAAGTTATAGTATTTGTAATAATATATTTGAGAACGTTTAAAATTTCTCGAATATTTCATTACGGCACGGGAAGTTCCAGCAATTTGCCTTATGGCACGATGCCATACACCACTAATTATTTTTCATATTATTTTTAAACTCAGACACGTATTTGACTTTCATTCAATAAAATAATATTAATTTCATTTGTCGAAACTAATTAACATGTTTGTCCAAAATTGAATAATCTGCAATAGTGTCTTTTATTATAGAGTCCTACAGCAACTTGGTATACTTATATATCATTCATAAATTAATATATTAAATAATATATCAAATATTCTTAAGTCGGAAAGTTGATACAACTTGCCTCAAGACAAAGCGTAACTTACACCTAGTTGACTGGGTACATTGATTACTAAATAGATTTTTCTAGAGCTTCATACTATTACTTTATTAAAGTCTTCTGAATTCTACCAAGAGTCAATTATTGTCACAACTTTATTCCAACTTTTTCAATGTCAATGCCATTTTTTTCTTGCATGTTTTTTCTTAATTAACGACCGAGCATGCCCCGGAGCAACTTGCAACACCAAACCAAACAAAATGTCAAGATCTAGAAATCTTTCATTCATTTCGTCTTTTTTTATATTTAGATCGAGTTATGCTAATTTCGTTTAGTGCTTCGAAATATTTGCACAATATTTAAAAGTGACGCCCACGACGGAATTTGTCATATTTCGAAAAAAAACTTTAGGCGAATTTGTTAGGAGGAGGCTATGAATTATTCTAAGCGTTTGTAGGCAAATTATGAAGTTATAGTGAGTAAAATTGGAATTGAATCGTTACACAATTCTATTTTTGGATGAAATTTAAATTCAAAATAGGTTTTTTAGTAGTATATTACTTATTTAAGGAGATTTTTTTGCATTCAGGTGTATCCTACGAAATAAATTGTACAAAAGTACCTTCAACTACGAATTATTTTTATTTTCACGATGTTCTGTTAATAATAACATGCGAAAGTATACTACTAAAATTTTTAATTTATTTTCTCAACCGGTTCTTCCTTTTTTTTGTAATATATTTATTAACTTCCCATAGGGTAAGTTATTATAGTAATCGCAAAAACGTCGAAAATGTAACTTTTTGCATATATTTACGTTTCAGACGTTTCTGAACATTTTGGCATACCTTAACAAAATTGATTTATATCTGTGTGTAGATACAATTTTTCGTCAACGATTTCGAGAGCATGGATCGACCGATTTGAATGATTAAAAAAACATTCGATTGCTATATATAGGGAGGCGTGCTGATTAATTTTTAGCAAAGACAGGTCTGGCCATTTTGAAGATACGGGGCAAAAAGTGCCAAAAATGGTAACTCGGTTTTTGAGAGAACGATTCAAAAAACATATTATTTGTATTGACAAAATGAGATGGAAAAAAGTGAAAAAAATGTCATTTGGCGGTCAAAAATGGTCATTACACATAAAATTAGCAGATATTTTATAGAGATATTATACAGATATAGGTATGAATTTTGTTTACATTTTTATTGCATTTTTTACGCGCTTCTATATTTTTCTCTAAAACAGCCACGCAACACGATTGCTTTGAAAAAAAGTTCGAAATTCTCAGAAAAATTCTATGTATAAAAAAAATCATATTTTTCAAAAAAGTCAAATTTTGAAAATTTTCAAATTTCTCAAAAATCTCATTTTTCTCAAAGTTTTCAAATAATTTTAAAGATTTTTTAAAAATTTTAAGTTTTGGTACAGAAAGCTGCAGCAATTTGCCTTAGGGCACGATGCCATGCACCAGATAGTTCAATCTACCGGTTACACGTGGAAGTCTCTGTATTACTAATTTTATTTTTAACTCTGAACAACATTTATACTCTTTCAGTTTAATTTTTCAAACTAAATTTAATTGTATTTTATAAATATGGCTGTTACATACGTCTTCTGTTAATTATTTGTGGTTTTTTGTACTTTTTAAATATTTTTATGCTTAATAAAAATTTTATGCCTAAGCATAAAATTTTTATGCTTAGGCATAAAAAATGAACTAAAGGGGCATTTGAAAAGCATCCTTAATTTATTAAATCTAATTTTTTTTTCTTTTTTAATTATTATATGCATGTATAAATATACATATATACACATATAAATTTACGAATGTGTATATGTATGTATATATACACATGTGTATTATAATCTCTCAGAACAATGGAACATCTAAAGTGAATTAATTCCCAATAGTACCAGTAACTACTAGTAGTAGGTTTTATTCAGGTCAAGCTCAGTTCGAAACACTTAAAAAGAATTACAGGGCACTAAATCACCTTTGAAAACACAGTTATTTATTCACTATTCAGCATCTGTTTCACTATCATTACGACTATTTTTATTAGTGTATTTAGTGTATTTACAAAATCATTCGTTTCGAGATTATAACGACATTTGTTGCAAAATCGACGCAATAGATATATAAATATATAATTTGGAACTGATACATGGACAAGGTTTTGAAATAATTGTAAAAAATTTGCCTCGTTATAATTCTATAATGTTACTACATATACTATATATTATAAAACTATATATTATAAAATTGCTATTTTAAATTACTTTGTTCCATGGCTGTGGTCATTGCGATTTTTACATTTAAGCCTAACGTAATTTTTTTTTAATATGTGGACGGTCGTCTTTACACCATTTTTTTTGTTTATATGTATATGTACATATTTATTTAAATGTTTTAATTTTGTCAGTCTACAAAACCGTTATTACGAAACCAGAAAATTTAATTATTATTCCGTACAAATTCCGACGTGTGCCCGTTCTGTTGTTTATGAATTAAATCTGTGCCATACCGGTATTATATAGTAGTTTAGTCGTTGACCAGAAGTTGACCACTTTTTGACCACTTTTTGACCACTTCTAGACCATCATCATCATCGTGATAATTAATGACCTTTCTTACTGTACATTTTTTATAATTAACATGACATATAATATAATGGTACAGTTATTTTTATTTGCATATAATTAAATTAATAATTCTAATACATTGTCCGATATATTGTCATCATCTCAATCTGTGATATCCTATGTCACTTATATATGGTAACATGATTTTATGCTCCATGATGCAATTCTGCCATAACAGAGCTCATACAATAGCGTTGTCAAGGCAACGCTATCTTAAACTTGTTCTTGATTGTGAAAATTGTGAAAATGTCTGTCGATTTGCTGTGCGATCTGGCGTATTTTACATATAAACCAGCAAGGAAGAATGTTATGATATAGAATCTCCGATGATGCGGTTATCATAAGATTGCACAGCAAATAGTTAGACATTTTCACAAATTTCACTACCAATAAACAAGCATAAGAGAGCGTTACCATGGCAATGCTATTGTATGAGATCTGCTTTGACAGAATTGCCCCATAAATTTCATCATGAAGCATAAAAACATGCTATCGTAACCGTATATGTTATGGTAGAAATGCCCCATTAATAATAGGATTTGCACTTTTCAATTATTCCCATTTTTTAGTTTTTCTTTTTCCATTATTTTTAGTTTAGTACTAAATTTCGGTTCAAAAAACATATTTTTATTTAAAATTGTTAAGTGTCATGCTGTTAACCCAATGATTACTGATTGACGACACACATTAAGTGTCGAAACGTTTAATCAGTAACGAAAATATTTTTTTTTAACTTATTTTTTATTTCGACAAATGAGCTGATATATATATATGTATATATTATATTCTAATTATCATTTCAAACCTTATCTCGACGTTTGCCGATAAGAAAGCTATGAATAAATAAAAAAGTACTTAATTTAAATGTAAAAACCATATTGGCTGTTGACAAACACACAAACACACACACACACAAACACTCATTTGAACAAACACGTTCAATGCACGAACAAGAGACGTCTAGAGAATACGAAACGTCATAAAAAATAACGAAAGATTTCTTTTTAAAAGGGAAATTAGACTTTCTTTCGATGGACGATGTGACGGAATTTATAAATAAACATATAAGTTAGCGAATAGATAAATTATAAATAAATATATATATATATATATATATATATATATATATATATATATAGGGTGGCTCTTAATATGCATGTTTTCAAATTTCCTTGCTCCCAGGGCCTCAAATGCTTCAAAATTAAAAAAAAAAATCTCTGATAGTTTTAGCTCTCAATATTAACTCTAAGATAGTCCGCACCAAAATTTCTTGGTTCTTTTTTTCTAAGTAAATACTTTTTCATAAAATATATCAAATTTTTGTTTGTGTATCAAGTTCACTTGATTTTGCTCGTTGAATTGTTTTTTCAACTACTGAAGATCAGAAAAATTTGAAAAACAGTTGAAAATGACGCAACATGGGCGTAAATACAATTTGGGGTTGATTATTGAGAGAAGGGCAATGGTGCAAAATCTCAAATTTTTTATTTAAATATTAGATGTTATAATGTTTTTACTGTATTTGTTTCGTTTGATTCTGCTCGTTCAATTTTTTTCTTTACTTTGAACTTGTACGTTGAAAATGATTCAGCATAGACGTAAATACAACTTGGGGATGATTGGAGACGTAAGGGCAGGGGTACAAAATTTGAAATTAATTAATTTAAAACTAAATATTATATAGCTTATAATGTGTTGATATAATTTGTTAATTTTAGTTCAATTTAATTTTTTCCGTACTAAATGCCTTAACATTATTTTAGGGATGATTTGGGGCAAAATGATGGTAGTAATTTTTATGAATATCAGTGATTTTATAATATTATTATCAAAGATTATTTTGTTTTTTTGTTCTGACTTCAATACAGGCTTTTTTTCTGCACTATATACCTATCTTCACGAAGCATCTCATATTAGGGCGGTCCGGCCGTCATGGGGTACTGATTTTAGTAGACATTTTCGAATTTTTGGTGTAATTTTGATGGTACAAATTAGTATAAACTCGAATTAATCAATATCCGTTTAATTATATTTATTTTCTTCTAAAACAAAAAGTGTTTGGTAGTTCAATATTAAAGCTAGCAGCGCCACGTGTTTTTTTTAAACGGCACGTAGTACAAATTTTTTTTTTGTGGTACAAATTAGTACAAAATAAGTACTAAAAAATAATACAACAGGTCCGGATCGATTTTGCTAATTTGGTCTTGCTAAGAGAAGGAAGAAAGGTAGTGCGGACTACCTTAAAGTTAATATTAAGAGCTCTGATTTACAGAGAATTTTTTTATTGCAAATTTTGAAAGCACTTGAGCCCGTGGAAGCAAAGAATTCGAAAATATCCATTATGATGACCACCTTAAATTATATATATGTGAAAATAAAAAAAATTAAAATTCAAGGAATTATATCCGTAAAATAAGTTATCCGTAATAAACATGCTTGTTAAAATAAATTTTAAGCTCTTCCATAAATTTAAGAAAATCTTCAGCAAAAAACTTCAAGCTCAAACCATAAAATCTACAATCACGTATAAGGCTAAGTTAATTTTCAAAACCATGCTCAACATCTACACACACACATCAACAAAATCTCACTTGCGCCTTTGCAGCATCGGCCGCCTCAAATTTCTCCCTATTAGCATTGAAAAAATCCTCATTCTTTACCAAAGCACGACATCCAACATCAGATGATGCTCCATCGGCAACATCAACATCCATTTCCGCCAAAGTCCTTTTTCTCATGACATCATTCATCCTGCTCGAAACCAATTTGTCCAATTTTCGCTTCTCGTCCTCGAGGAATCCTTTGAAACCGCGCCAAGCCTTTGAGATCTTCACGGATTTTGACCGAGAAATGTGGTTAGGTTCGCGGATTTTGATTCTTTCTTGCCAGTATTCGTAACTGTCACGATTATCCTTAAACTTATCCACTTCATCTGGGGTTGATGTGGATAGGTTTAGGGATACTTCGCTGAAGTCTGAAGGAGTTGGTAAGGGATCGAGGTAAGGTAGACTGATGTTATCAACTTTTTTGTCTAAAGATTTATCCACAATCTCAACACTTGGTTTTGAAGGCACATCAGCATGGCTTTCTTCTAGTTTTTCAATTTTATCTAAACATTCAACAATACCCAAACTGCTACCACTTGATAAAACATCATTATCCAAACTATTCTGGCCCAACTCCAATTTTGCACTACTTGCATCATTTTTATCAGAGATTTCTTGATAAAAGTGTTCAACCCTTTCATGTGTACAACTATTAGATTTAACTGGAAGACTTTTTTCTAAGGTGGATGTAACATTATCATGGTCAATATTATTATCATCTATATTATTACTATCAGTTCCTTTCGTTTTCGGAGGCACTTCAGGTACTAAATTTTGGTCATTCAGTTTTATTTCAGGCACTAAATTATTATCATCTTTGGTGTTCTGTTCCGCGTACTTCTTGAGTTTACTAAATGCATTCTGACAGTTTTTAGTGTTATTAATAGCATTGTGTTTTTATCTATTTTTCCCACCGGTTTGGCTTTACCAGGTACATCATAAACTGCATCGATTTCACACGATGGTGTCCTTTGCAGAAAAACCTTAAATTTGTAAATCGAATATTAAAATTGTTTTGATGCTGTTAAGCCGGCCACAGACGTAACTGTTTGTCGGGTTTTATAAACCGGTTTTTTGGCAAAAATTATGAAATCCGAAAACCGGTTTTTTAGTGAAAAAAGTCGGTTTTCACTGTATAAATGAAAAATGACAAATATAGCCAAATATAAAAGATAGATGAAAGCGTTTTGATTCTTGAAATAATATCGGTTCAATAGCATTTGATATCTTGTCAGTCTGCAATGGTTCCCAGAAAGGTTTTGTATATATTAATTTAGATTTTTATACCAGTGTATGTATTAATTTAAATCAGTGTGACTTCTTCTTGAAGAAGTAACTTCCTCTACTCAAACTTTAAAAAAAAGAGCTTTAAACCCTAGAATCCACAAATTAAATAACAAATAATTTTTAGAATTATTATATCAGGCTTTAAAAACAATTAAGCATAATTTGGTCGCAAGTATGAGAGTATTTGCTATTTCAGAAAATTTTGTGAGTAATTAAAGGACATGTCTAAGTAGCAATTTGATAGACGTACTCAGTTTTTTTAAATCATATTTTATTAAACAAAAAATAATTAGAATGTTTAAAATTAATTAATTATAATTGCTCAGAACAGACAATACTCGAGTTTAGCTTAATTGTTTTTAAAACTACAATTGATATTAGCAAGTATGTATCTAATATTTTTTTATTTTATTTTAATTTAATGATTTTTTTTATTTAAAAACGTATTATTTTTATCTATTCGAAAACTTTCCTTTCACTATCATAAAAATATTTTCATTCTTATATGTGAAAATGATGCATAAATAACGAATAATTATTTTCAAAGTTATTTAATCAAGGCTAACTATTATTTTTTAGTTTAACTAATTAAAATTAAAATAATTTTGTTTACTATCTATAAAATTGAACAATAAATAAATTCAGTCAAATTCTGTTCTAAATTACACTAAATTTGCGTATAAATTACAGAATATTCGAAATAAAATATTTATTTTTTATATAAAATTCGAAAACCGGTTAAAACCGGTTTTTAGTAAAATTAAAATTCGAAAACCGGTTTTCTGAAATATTTATTTTTTATACAGTTACGTCTGTGGCCGACTTTATTTTGAATTTATTTTATTATCACCTTTAGTTCCGATTTGTGAAGGTTTTGTGCAGATTTACTTCTCTTGCATCTCAAAGGTTTCGGTTTAACGATCTGGTGGAGATATTTTGGGAAAGTTAGATAAAGTTAGCAAAATGAGGGTTCAGAAGTTTTACTTCATTTATTTCTGACCTGATAATGAAGTTCCTCTCCGCTCGTCTTTATGGTTAAGGGTTGGAATTTGCTGTCTGCCAAATTGGCATACGAAAGTTCCATTGTTTGTTCATTCCTTTTTTGAAAATTCATTATTTTATAAAAATATATATTAGTAATTTCTGACACAATCACAAGATCTAAAATCTAATTTTTCGCAAATTTGAAACTTCAAACAAGCACGAATTTAAATTTAAATTATATATGAATCAGAAAATTTTTATTTGACATTTTTTGAGTGACATAAATATGTGTGTGAATTTGTGATTATGTGATTAAAAAAATTTGTGAATAAATTTATGATTGTAATTGTGATTTGTAATTTTATGAATTTGTGTTTATAATTGTGATCTGTGATTTTATGAATTTGTAAATTTGTGATTTTATAAATTTGTACATTTGTGATTGTGATTTATGATTGTAATCGTGATTTGTGATTTTATGAATTTGTAAAATGTACAAATTTACAAAATCACAAACCACAATTACGATCATAAATCACAATTACAAATTCATAAAATCATAAATCACAATTACAATCACAAATCATAATCATAAAAGTGATAATGATTTATGATTGTAATTTTGATTTGTGATTTTATAAATTTATAAATTTGTGATTGTGATTTGGGATTTTATGAATTTGTAAATTTGTGATTGTGATTTGTGATTTTATGAACTTGTAAATTTCTAATTTGTGATTGTAATTGTGGTTTGTGATTTTATGACTTTGTAAATTTGTGATTGTGATTTATGATTGTAATTGTGATCTTTGATTTTATGAACTTGTAAATTTGTGGTTTATGATTGTAATTGTGATCTGAGATGTGATTGTGATTTATAGTTGTGATTTATGATTGTAATTGTCATTTATGATTCTATGAATGAAAATCACAAATCATATTTACAATCATAAATCAGAATCACAAACTTACATAAAATCACAGATCGCAATTACAATCATAAATCAAAAATTTACAAATTCATAAAATCACAAATCATAATTACAATTATAAATCACAATCGCAAACTTACAAAGTCAAAGATCATAATTACAATCACAAATCATAATCACAAATTTACAAATTCATAAAATCACAAATCACGGTTACAATCATAAACCATAAATTTACAAAGTCATAAAATCATAAATCACAATTACAATAATAAATCACAAATTTACAAATTCATAAAATCCCAAATCACAATTACAATCATAAATCACAATCGCAAATTCATAAAATCACAAGTCACAATTACAATCATAAATCACAGTCGTAAATTTACAAATTCATAAAATTACAAATCACAATTAAAATCATAAATCACAAATTTACAAGTTCAAAAAATCACAAATCACAATTACAATCAAAAATCACAATCACAAATTTACAAATTCATAAAATTGCAGATCACAATTACAATAATAAAATCACAAAGCACAATTACAATCAAAAATCACAATCACAAATTTACAAGTCATAAAATTACAGATCACAATTACATAATAAAATCACAAAGCACATACAATCAAAAATCACAATCACAAATTTACAAAGTCATAAAATTACAGATCACAATACAATAATAAAATCACAAAGCACAATTACAATCATAAATCACAATCACATATTTACAAATTTACAAAATCACAAAAAATATTTTTAATCATAAATCACAATCACAAATTGTGAATTTGTTATTGTGTGATTGTATGATTACGTGAATTTATGAATTTGCGGTAGAGTGAATTTTTGATTGTATCACAGTTTGTGAATTTGTGATTTTATCAATACGTGATTTATGAATTTCTAAATTCATGATTGTATAATTTGTGTTTTTTTATTTTGTGCAAATTTTTAATTGCATCAACGTTTGTGATTTTCGGATTGCATAATTTTTTGAATTTGTCAATTCATAAAAATTGTGTACTTGTGTATTTTCGATTTGTACAATTGTAAATTTGTGGTTCTATGATTTGTGATTGCTTTATTAATGTTATTTTATAAATATGCTATTATTTTGTGATTTGGTTAATTCGGAGATTATTTAGTTTGTGACTTAATTGAAATTTAACTAAAAAAATTGTGACCAAAATTGTGCTTGTGTGAATTTTGTATTTATTACTTCAATAATTTATAAAACTGTGATTTGTGAACATGTGAGTGTGTCAGAAATTAATGTAAAATTAGCGTTTATTACTTGGCAATTTGCTATTTAATGTATAAGACTTAAGATTGTTTTCTTATCTTACTAAAAATAATTTTAGGCGAGTGGGCGATTTGATAAGATAATTATCTTACTTTAGATAAGAAAACAATCTTATCCAAAATCTATATGTCATTATAGCAAACTTATTATTATTATTATTACCTATTAATTTTATTCCTCTTCCTCGGCACCGCGTAAAGGGCATCAATATCAAAATCCAGTGGCGTCCAAACAGCCTGAAACTGATCCTCGACCACAACAGGGTTTACAGAATAGAACCCTTCGTTGGAGGGCGACTTCGCCAATAATTTTTTGGCCACAACTTTGGGTTTTTCAAAAATATGCCCTATAGGCTCAGCCGATTTCGACTTTTCGACGCCTTTTTTCACGAATCCATTGTTTTCGGGTTCTTGACGGTTCGGGGGCGGTTTTCCCTTTGAGAATATCGAAAGGGGGTTCCATGGTTCTAGAGTTTCGCGGATTTTTTTCATTGTAATTGTAATAGATTTAGAAGCACTTGGGTTTTATGATATCACTGATGAAAAATGACAAGTTTGTTTTTGGAGGTTTTGGGGATATTTCATTTTCTGCAGGGTAATACACTTGTTTTAATATATATATATATATATATATATATAAATATATATATATATATATATATATGATAAATATATTTTTCCAATAATACGATAACCACATAATTTTCCAAGTCGTTGAACACTAGAAGTACTTTCACTTAATTTTAATA